TCCGCATCTCCACATTGAGTAGTTGTAGCTCCATCTTTAATCATATTCAATAAAATTTTATAAGTTACACTAAACATATTCATCAAGCTAGAAACGGGTTTTAGATGAGAACTCCAATGAGTATTCCTAGCCCTTTGTAAACCACTAACTTGATTAAGCCCTCTCCTATTTTTAAGTTCACTAATAGAAAGTAAATAAGCAATGTTTACGAGTATGAGCATCTTTCAATTGGTTGTCACGCTTATATGAAGCGCCAATGATATTAATGATGGAGTTCAATTTGGTAAAAAAATGATGGATAAGGATAACTTCCTTTGATGCAGCAACTAATGCCAACTCGCAAATGATGAGCTAAACAATGAACATTGTATACAAAAGGCCATTCATTTGAAATCATAGCTTGTAACCCATTCCATTCCCCTTGCATATTGCTTGCATTATCATAAACTCATCCTCCGATATTCCGAACATCAATACTATAACGAGAGAGAATAAAAAATATTCCTTCTTTCAATGTTAATATAGCAATGTCTTTTACATGAACAAGCCCAAAAAAGTGCTCACACACATATCTATTTTTGTTAATAAATCTTAATACAAAAGTCATTTGCTTGTTTTTAAACTCATCTTAAGCTTCATCAACAATTATACAAAATTTTGCATCATCAATTTCTTTACGGATAACATTCTTGACTTTAGTTGCCAAGAGTTACAAATTTCCTTTTATACTCTTGGTGAAGTGTATGAGCCATTTTGTGGAGCTTTACTAAATATTTCTACTATCCTGTCATTTTAAGATGCCATATAACTCAATAGTTTAAGAAACGTTTTATGATTCATCGATATTTTGGTCTTATCATAACCTTTAAATATGCATCCTTAAATCTTAAAGTACTATCAACTAATCTTATAAATTTACAAAGTAGGAAATTACACCTATGGAGGGATCCCCATCTCCAAAAAAGAGAACCTAAAATGGTTCCTCCACCAAATCCAAGCATGCCTCCAACTATGCCGACCATAAGAGCTATGACACGAGTAAAGAACAAGTTTATGTACCGGCCGAGTTATTTATTTCTTCTACCTTGGATGCAATCTTTTTTCATCCTTTGTACTAGCTAACTACCAAAATTGAAGTTACACCAATTGCCACCAAGATCTAAAAACCAAGAGAAAAATATAATAACTACTCTTATATCATATATAAGATTTGACATGAAATGAGCAAGTTGCATAATTGTACATGCACTCTTATGTTAAGGTACCCGCAATATGTTCAATAGCTAATATACCGCTGAATTGTTCGGGATTTGATCCTACATCCTCAATTGTCAACCTTTCCATTCCGTTTCAAATTCCAATTATTTATAATAACACTTTAACGATGAGGGGAGGTGATGTGATGTGAGATGTAACATTTGATTTGTACACTTAATTTTTTTAAAATCCTTAGGTCAAATTCCTTTACTATCATAATGATAAGTAAATGAAAAAAAGAGCCTAAAAGCAAAAAAATGCCGATAATTTTAATGGAAGAAAATACATTTAATATAGAGTCTCGTATAATCCTTTCATCACTTTATTCGAAAGAAAACTAAATTTCAATTAACATATAAATTAATTTAAAAATACTTTACTCGTTGAATTAAAAAAAAAACTCTACATATATAAATATCTTAAAATTTCAATATACACTAATAAACAATCGAAAAGAAAGTAATCTTTCATTTTAGTATGATGCTTAGTCTTAACTATACTTATAGTTGAAAATGATCGCTTCATAATAGTCGTAAAAAGTAGAAAAATAAGAATAAGTGTTATCACTCTATACACAAGTGGATAACTTTCAAATTTTCTTATCTTAATCAGCCATTAACACAAATTAGATATAGTTGACAATATTTCAAAATCGAAAGATTTCATATATGATCAAAATACTCCCACATGCAGCTCCTAATAATGTAATTATAGCACCCACCATAATTTTCCAACCAAATTTCGTATCATGTATATCCAATCTCAAAACTTAATAGTAAGACAGGAGAAAAAAATGAACTCAAAAGGAACATAAAGTCTTCCTTTTTAATTTCCTACAATCTTGTATGCAGCTAAGCTGATACGTTCAAGCAATTAATGGAATTTAACTTAGACAGTTGTACTCACAGGTCAAACAAGTTTGTAACCAGATTGGCCTATTGCTTCATGATGAGACTCAACCTGTTCAGTCCCATTATAAAAGGAACCTCTTTGTTTCAAACTTGGCTCTGCTACAAGCACCCTCAATATTGAAGTTTTGACAACCAAACCACTAAAAATTTCTCCTCTTAGTCTTGAATTATCGTACCACCATTTTGATCCAACTCCAACCATCATATTCATTTGTGTCTAAAATGTCAAGTTCTCTCAAATTTGGACTTAAAACCTGAAACTCGAAGTCAGCAAAAGCTTAAACTTTGAGAGAGGAAAAAAATGGTTTTGTCTATTATAGTATAACCGAGAAAAGAAAAAAACCAAGTTCAAGCTCGCAACCAGGATGAGCCAAACTCAAATGTTATGCAGAACACGCAATTAATCAGCTAGGTGTCGCACATATGCAAGAAATGTACTTGAAAAAGCCAGGAACAAGAAAGAATTAAATCTCACACGCTGTCTCTCCATATTTATGCACGAAGGGAATACTACCACTTTCTCTTCGTGCCATGCCAGGTTTCAAGTAATCTGTTAAAAGAAGTAACTGATAACTCGTTTAAACTCTTCAAATGTAATTAACTAGTTTAGTCTCTGTAACATATAAATAACTAGTTTTGATGCCATTGAAGAATTTCTAGAAATTGCCAGTTTTAATGTTTCATTGTCATCGACGATGACTTTTTCCCTTTTTATGAGTATCAAATAATGAAATTCATTATCTTCTACCGGTTTCTTCAACCATCAAACGTCCCCCATCAACAACGTGTCATTTGGGAAGGCTAGATGATAGAGATGCACCTTTACATTCCAGCTCAAGAATGATGGACAATGCACATTACAGGTTGAGGAATAAACTAAATTTAACTATTTTGATATAACCACGAGCTTGGGGAAATTTAAAAGTAGTAATCACAAAAGTGGCTTTATTGTTTGCTAAAGTTCTAACTCTAAAACTTGGAGAATTATATTACTTATTTTCTAACAATTTTTTTTCTCAAAGATGGATTTGATTTTGTTGATGAAAACCAACTGTGCATTGATAGAATTATTTCATGATATAATATGTACTCATTTCTTACGTGTTGGATATGTGGTATGAATTGAATGGATGGGTATATATTTTATCGGTACACTGAACCACCACATCTTCTTAGCATCAACTGTAGGTCTCGGACCTGGCAACTAATGGCTACAACATAGCTTACGTGGGTGACTCAAAGAGGTTTTTTAACGGTTTAGAGACCTTGTACTCACGAGTGACCGGTTCCTTCTTTTATGGTTTGAGTTTGAAAAAAGTATATTTGACTTTTCACTGATACCTAAATCAAACAACCAAAAAGCTATAAATTGAAAAATATCGATCAAATAAAATAAATCCAGAAACAAATGATATATATGTCATCCTGTTTTTAATATTTTTACTTCTGAGAAATGTATATATTAAAATAATACGTCTTTGTGGGTTAACAGAAATGTCTTTATTATCATTTAAAAAATAAAATAAACCAGCGTATGTTTTTTTTTAATAAACTTTTTTTTTTTCAAACATGTTATCATGTCAGTAGCTATACCCTACTAATCAAGGGCCACACGTTTTCATCTTCCTAAAATGGCTGAAGTAGTACGTTGGATTTAAGTAAATAATCACAAGATTTTAGACTAAAAAGAAATCAAAAATGAAATCACACTTTTTTTCTAATATTATATAGTCATTTGCCGCTTATAAAAAAGAGAAAGAAGTCATTTTATACGTGCCTTGCTGTTTGCATTTCGAAGAAGATGTAACGTTTTGAGACGATCCATGATGAACACTTTCACTGTTTATTCTCAACAGCTTTCTCTTCTCTTGCATCAGTCATGAAGAATTCCTTGAGTTTTATAATTCCCCTCCTATTTGAATGCTATGTCGTCATGTTATATATATATATATATATTTTTTATTTTTTTTTCTTTTAACAAACGTACTTGTTAAAAAAATATGTCTTTTTTCATCAATAAATGTATTTTTATTATTGTCTTAAAAAAATATAGCAACATGTGTTTCTCTTAATAGACTCATTTATTTATAAAAACTAATTATTTAACTAACACCTCAACATATATATATTACTGCTTGCATCAAAATATTAAACAATAAAGTCTTTGTAAATTTTTTATTTTATAAAAATATTCTTCTTTTTATTTATTTTATGATTAATTAATTTTAGAAAACTTATTTTCATTATTAGCATCGACATCTTCAACAAATAAAAATCAATAAGTCTGATAGCTTTTTTAGACATATATTCTTCTTCTTTTTTTCTTACGATATTTCCTCTTTTTGAGGACAGAAGATACTGCTACTTTTTTTCTTTTTAATGACAGGCCATTTGAGATTAAATTGTAAAAATTGATTACAAACAATATAGAAATTAATTACTTTAATTGTACAATTGAAGGTACATGCTCTTTAATTCACGTGCTTTTTACTCACACTATCCCTTTATGTTTGTAAATAACAGTATATATTGAGTCATTTAATTTGAATGCTTTGTACATTTTTTCTTAGATTGTCTTTTTATATGTGTAAATAATATAATTACATATTGAATCATTTAATTTTGAATGAATATCAGGAGGCAAATTATTTGAGATTTTTTTACATTTCTTTTATTTCTTTATTTTTTCAACAACATTGAAATAGTGGTTTGATTTAGAAATGGATTTCGGCTATGAATATTCAAAATATGTTTCTTATACAAGTTAAATATTAAATGACAATCACTAGAAAAAAAAAAACAAAACAAAACAATCTCATCTAACCCGCTCTCATGGGGCCGGAAATCGAGTGGTTAGGATTTACCCATTCTGTCTTAGCCAATTAAAAACAGACACGCAATTAAAGCTACAAAGAAGCTGACCACACTTGATAACCATCTCCAATTTTTCCGTAACCCTAAAAATAAAAAACCTAGTGTATGGTATATATTACTCTCGAACGCCGCTGTCTCCTTCTTTAACCCAAAGAAACAGAGCTCTTCTAGGGTTTCTCTGCATCTGTTGCTGCAATGGTAAAACACCACTTACAAGCTCGACCTCCCTCTCTCTCTCTCTTTCTTTCTGTCAAACTTTTGTCTTTATTTTGATCCACAGGCTGTATTTGCTCATGCTTTCTATGGGTGTGTGTTTGTAACAATGACAGGGTAAGGGAACAGGGAGTTTTGGTAAGAGGAGGAACAAGACCCACACCCTCTGCATTAGGTGTGGGCGCCGTAGCTTTCACCTCCAGAAGAGCCGTTGCTCCGCCTGTGCTTTCCCCGCTGCCCGCAAGAGGAAATGTATGATTTCTTGTTTTTTATCTTTTTTTTTTTTTTTTTTTCATTTTCTGCGTATTGAACTCTGTATTATCTAGGTATTTGTCTAGCTGTAAGTTTGCCTTTTTCTTTCAATTCAGTGATCTTTTCCCCTAGTTTGTAACTGTATTGGCATGTGCATCAGTTATCACTGATTTGTTTTATTAAGTTTGTGAACGTGTTATTGAATTCATATTTGCTTGTTCATCTTTGTTTGTGTATTAGACTACTAGATGTATTTAGTCTTGCAGTGCTTAGATGTTAATCTTGAATAAATTTTGCCTTCTTTTCTTTATATCCAAAGAGGAACTCTTTCTATGTGTGTGCTAAAGGATTTGTATCTATGTATTAGTATGGCTGTGCTACTCCATCATCTGTAAATAGTAGTAAAGATTCAATCCGGTGTCTGCTTCTGGCCCCGAGTAAAGATTCAAGCCCCCTTGCCTGCTTGTTGATCGGTGTCGGCTACTCATGGATGATTTATGTGTATAAAGTACCAGTTTATGAATATCTCGATAATTGTGACCTCCGCCCGTTTAGCTTTCTAATATGTAACTTTTGCTTGAACTTGTCTAGTTTGGTTTTTAAACTAGTTGGTTGATTGTATGTTCTTTAATTGTGGTTTCAGACAACTGGAGTGAGAAGGCAATCCGGAGGAAGACAACTGGAACTGGAAGGATGAGATATCTCCGCAATGTCCCTCGCAGGTTCAAGAGTGGGTTCAGAGAAGGTAAATGCACATTTCCCCTTCTTTATCATCATAATTTGAAGGCCTGCTTTTCTTTTTAGTTGAATTAATACTACATTTGGGTTTAATTGTTTTCTTTATTTTATTTTGACTTTGTTGGCTGGCTTTTGATCAGGCACTCAAGCAGAACCAAGGAAGAAGGGTGCAGCCGCATCTGCTTAAGCTGTGAGTCATTTTGGGTGTAATCTGGGCACCCAATTATAGATTTACTTCGAAATTATGCATTGGAGAGTTTTGTGAGAACGTTTTTCAATGGGTACCATTCACTTTTTTGATGCTATTTAGTTAATTTTTACTTGTCCTAATTATGTAGTTGGTTTGATTTTGAACGAGGATGTTGGGATTATTATTCAATTTGCTTTTATGTTTCTGAGGAAGTTTTAAAATTTGTGTTTTGGTTGTTACTGCTGTTGACTACTCGCTGCAACCCCATGATGCCATGAAATCAGAAAAATCTGAAGTAATAAATAGATGGTGTGCGGTGTGCCTGGCTAAGTACATTACAAATACTTCTCATTCTGTGTAATTGATTGCAATTTGTTGGTCCAAGTAGAATGGTTACCCTCACAGAAGTATTAAGGTTGGATGCTATGCATTTGCGACATATTTGATTAATTTTTTGTTTTTGATTGAATCTATAAAAGATGAAGTGGATTCTCATTTAAGAATCTAGTGACAGCAGTACTAAGAATGGTTCACTCGATTTCTTCAGGTGAATGGAGTTTTTAGAATGGGAATTCAAGTTTTCCGTATATATATTTTGCTACAATCAATGTGGTGATTCATGGATCACTAGTTAGAGTGCAAGGTTAAAAACTGACCGATCTCAAGCTTTAGAGATCCTTAAACAAACGGATCTCAGCTGCTTATTTTGTACAACAACTCGTAATGCTAGTGCAATTGTTTACCGTGATATTACCAAAGCCCTATTATTTTTGACATAGTTTCTAATTTGGATCACCAAACGTTCACAAGAACTAGTATAAGATTGGGTGGCACAACTTATTTCTCGAGTAAATGTAGCACTGTCATTTGGAATCTACGTGGGTGGAAGTGGTGGCTGGTCATTGGGAATCTAGAAGAGTAGACGGGGGAGGAGCAGTGTAGTGGCGTGCATAAGACATTGGTGTGCATCCAAACCTGATATTCATGTACGCAACTTGGCAACCAGTGGACTTCGTTATTTTTTAATTTTTTTTGGACTAGATATCGTTTATTTCTAATTGAAAACTGACTCCGAACTTATGAAAAAGAATCAACATGCATTTCTTGTCGCTTTCACTATATCCACCATATCATTACGATGTTGAAGCCTAACAAGGGTTTTCCGACCAATTCAACATTATGAAGGCTCAAGGCCCTCGACAGAATTACAATTTGTCATCATACAAGGACATTGGATCAAAAGCAAGGGAAAATAGAGAGATTTCTAAATAAATAAATAAATTAGATGAGAAGACATGAAAGAATCGCTATATTTTTTTCTCACTGATTTCAAGATTTAGGTACAATATCCTCAAAATTGCCAAAACAAGAATCTGACTAAACACCAGATTATGTATCAATTTGACCATATTTTGATACCATCAATCGCAATGTGGGACAATGTTTCAGTTGCACAAAAAATAATAATAATAAATTGAAAACAACATAAACATGTTCTCAAAGAATAAAACACCTGAACAAAAAAAGTCAGGCGAAGATTGATTCCGTATACTTGGACTTGGCTTATGATACCTGACTAATTGGGCTTAAATTCACCAAATTTATGCTTTTCTTCATGCAACTGCCTGAAGACATAATCCAGTTCTGGAAATGCAGTCAAAAGCAGCAGCTCAAGGAGGTCAAAAGCCAGTTGCTTCATACAAACTGATGACTGCACCCAAAAAAAAAAAAAAAAAGACTTTGAAGCTTAGTAACATCATTTGCATATGAATGATAGGTGTGCAAGAAATATGCAAAAACATACAGAGAACTAAATATGGGCAAGGCATACAGCAGGAACGCTGTCTTCTTTCAGGGTCACAAATTAACACCTGGAATGATAGGTGTACTGATCTGGTCACTGGGGCTACAGTCACCCCACGTCATTAACGCACTAAAAGCTTTCACTCTGTGCTTCATTAAACCAAGTTTTCTCAATCCCTTGCCTCCCTCATTAATCAACATTTATTGGGCAAGGCTTGTTACATGTTCTGAAAGAGGCATCTCAAACCATGGCAGAAATACAAAATGGATGCTGACACAACAACATCAAGCGACAAACCCAGATCATTAATGCACTAAAAGCTTTCGCCTCTTCATTAAACCGAGTTCTCTCAATGCCTTGCCTTCCTCATTAACCACCATTTATTTGGCAAGAATTGTTCTCTTCTGAATGAGGCACCTCATGGGAGAAATACAAAATAGATGCTGACAAAGAACATAAAGATATAGAAACAGAAAAACTCTCTCTCTCTCTCCCCCTCATATATATATATACACACACACACCGTTTGAGAAGGTTAAATACATGTGACACAAAAACATCTATAATCAGCCGCTACTTTATGCTTTACAAGAGAAGTGTTGGATTTCGATCTCACCAAAGCAAAAAAATACCTGAAGAAAGAAATAGAGATCTTTTGCACATTGTTCATACTCCTTTCGACCAACAAGACTTACAATAGCAGCCGGTGCGTTGTCTGCATTTCAAAAACAGGTTAATTGTGGCATCGAAGATTGGCTACTGGCATTTAAAAATAATAGTTCTGTGATGCAGAAAATAAAGAATGCATAGGAAAAATGATAAACGATATTACCAATCATCAGCTCATATACGAGTTTAGCACGTCGAACTGCATCCTGTTGTTGCTGCTCATCACTCAATCTAGGTGAAGACCCTTCCATGGGTTGCTGGCCATGAGGGGAATTCAATTTAGGAGAAGACACTTCTGTGGGTTGCTGCTTTGGCGGTCGTCTCTTTGGATGTTTGGTTATGAAAATTCCATCAGGCCAAAGTATCTAGTTAACAACAAGGCAGCTAATGTCAGGATAATATGCAGAAATCTCAATCTCATTTTAGTAGTGATCTATGCTGCCAAGTATTCTTGAAGATTTAGCAAATTGTCAAAATAGAAGAAACTGAAAAGCTTTAAAAATTACCTGCTCAATCCGCTTGATCCCCGAGGCAACAACTGAACCCCTACGCAGAAGCTGGATTTTCTCTATCAACCAATCATCTAAAGCATCACCCATTCCTAGTTGAAGTATCTGTTTGGCCACCCAAAAAGCCTGCCTCCTGCAATGCACAAATCATTTGTATCAGCATCAGATCCTCACCAATCACAGTGGGATGTCATTATGTTGATGAAGAGTAGCTTATATAAAGAGATAAGGCCTCCACCATATTTCTACGCTGTCACAAATTGAATACCTGATCCATCCACCATCTTGTAGCTGGAAAATGACATCTACCAAATCAAGTAGAGGGAGAGTCAAATTTGGTGGTACCCACTGAAAGGAAGCAATAAACTTAATAAGACAACCTTTTATTATTAACTTAAGCCTGCAATCCAGCCCAATCCTTAACCCACTTTAATTACCTCTGTAGGGAGCTTGGGGTCACTAGCAGTATCGTGAATGGATGCGGACATCTCTTCTAAACTATCACCTTCTCTTCCTTTTACATTCTTCTCCAAATTTCTGACAGATGATGCATTCTTTTGCATATCTGAATCACTGCCTGGATCCTTGAATGATTTTCCAGATTCTTTAACAGACTTTCTCACTGGAGAACAAGGAATGTCTTTTGAAATCATTCGTACCCCATCTGCCCCAAGTGTATGCTTTGTTTGCAATATGGATTCCTTGCACTCTGCACTCATTTGTTCCTTCCTATTGGACAAGGAATCAATAGCAGGCCCAATAAAATTTGGAACCTTTTTACTCTTTTCAGAGGGCTTATCATCCAGGTCAACTAGAAAGTTCCAAGAAATATAAAAAGAGAAGAAAAATCAAAATAAAGAAACAAAAATCAAAATAGTAGATAGCATTCTAAATTGAAGAAGCTTCACCTGATAATGTTTCGATGATAGAAAATGAATTTGAGAACAAATACGTCTGCATGACGCCACATATATAAAAATGAATAGTATAAGTGAAATATAAAAAAGAACACCATTCTTTTCAAGAAAAAGAGGAAGAAAGGAAAAAACTCCATTAGCAAGACAGCAGAAATATGAACCTGAGAATCAACACTAAGAAAATCCCAGACTTCAATTGATCCTGAAATTTTTGGAAGTTGCAAGAGCTTCTGGAAAACAGCAACAGGTTATGGTTAGTTCAAGAATTGAAGCATAGCATAAAGAAGTAGCAAACTAGCTCAGAAAAATGGATTTCCTAAAGCAGCAATGGAGTTATTTCTCGCAGTGGGCATGTTCATAGCTAATGGCAAACTTTAAAATATTACGCTTTGGAATTTCGGTGGCGTGGTACTCGATTAGCCATGTAAGTGCATTCTCGTGGTAGGCACTCAAATATGATTTTTGTACAATCTAGTTCGACCTATCCAGAAAAATTATTGGCCAACAAATGTGGTTTTGACCCATTTGGTGATGCCAGCAGTTGTTTTGATATATAATTTTATCTTGTTTCCATTTTGAGATATGCTACATTTACATGGTTAATCTAGTACGAGCACCACCGAAATTCCCAAGCATAATACTATTTATGTTTCTGTATGTGTTACTTTACAGCATAATGCTGTAGAATCCACATTAAACCTGAAAAAAATCTTACTACAAAATCAGGTCAGAACTCCATTGAAGGCCACAATTCCAGCTTATCAAAGAGATGAAGCTAAAATCAAATTCACTCAACAAAACATTGAGATTAGATATTTAACCTTTAGATATCTGTCCAGTAATTTACACCGCTCTTGTATGACAGGCATGTCTAAACCTGTAGAGAGAAAATGCTTCGGTGGCAAATGAAGGCTATATTCCGGATACTCTTTGAGACGTCTATGTAACTCCTCAAAATGTCGAAACCTGTTGGCAGTAGAGTTCAGTTAGATGAGCATATAGCTTTATGAGAGAGTATCACAAAGATCATAGGTTCACCATGTTAGAGGACATTAAAAAGACAATATTTATTCATGAAGATGCTTGTTACAGAACACAGCAACAAGAGATGAAACAAGAAATTTGAGACAGAAATCCATAGCACCTTCTTTTGATTGACCAACTGTTATTATTTACATCTGTAACAGATATGGAATAAACAGCAAATGTTTTAGAGCCACTCTTAACAATATTTGCACCCAATACCTGCAACAGCAAGAGGGTTTACATCCTTTATCATTAAATCAGAAGATGAAAGGTCAAGCACTTGAGTAGAGAAAGTATTGAGCTTTTAAGTGGAGTACCTCACATCTCAACCTGTAAAATGAGTCCACCATTAATGAATGTTTCAAGGAATTAACATTTAAAGTGTGGCTTTCAGGAATAGAAACAGATGTTGCAGACGAACAAGCAGTTGCTCCACTGTAAACTCTATCCGAACTTTCAATCTCGGAATCATCACTGAAATCATCAGCTTTAGAATGCCCTTTTAAACTAAGTATGTCCTGCCCATCTCCAGAAAAGAAGCTTGTTCTCTCAATCTCTTTCCAAACATGTACCTTTCGAGTGCTTGGCCTCAACCTTTTCCTGTCAGACTGAGGTCTAGATAATCTCTGATAGTGAGCATGCCCTCTACCAGTCTTCTTTGCTCTATGGCCATCAGGATTTTCAAGCGGATGATGAATGTGGGAAACAGCCAGGTTTCTGTTAGTTTTACCATCCCAAACTTTAGTTACTGGAGAATCAAGACCAGTTACACTGTTTGCATCTTCCTCTTCACAAGTATAAGAGCTAGTGCTATCTGATTCAGTCTCATCCACACACATGAGGCTCTGTATGCCATCTTGGTGTGAACTAAATAGTGAATGATTTGACATGTTCTGATCTGTATGATGCAGAGTGTTTTCTACTGTAGACTGCTCAGTACCCACAGACTGAGTGTTCTGAGCTAGAGGGGCATCTAGTTTGGTTATACCATCCTTCTTGGAATTAGCCGTCCTTTTTGAGTGATCTGATGTAACAGACTTACTCGTTGAAGAATTCTGTGGGGCTTGCTTGACCGACTGATTTTCACTTTCTTTCTTTCTATAGTTTCTCCCTTTTGTCCACATGTTTTCAAAATTTTCTGGAGCAAGGGCTGCAGTCTTTCTTCGAGACATCATATCCAACATCTCACCCCATTCTCCTCCTGAAAGATGACGTTGAATTCCTGCTTCGTTATTAATCTGGGAGTTCATGGGCAGCGAACTCCATGCGCGGGAGGATTGGGTATCAATGGAAAGCAATGGATCTTTTGAGACATGGCTTCCATTCATGTTATCTTTTTCAGGTGCATCTGGTCCCTTTTTGGATTGATCTGCTTTCAACTGCACAAGTTCAACCCCAGTACCTTTAGGATCTAAAAACCTAGAAAAATGATCAGATGAGATCCTTAAAGACCCATTTGGTTTGAAATGAGATGTCTCTTGCGCTGCAGCTACTCTTTTATTAGCCTTAGAAATGACAACTTTTTCAATCCTTTCATTTATGAACCTGAAAAACAAAAAGAGAAAACAAGAAAAAAATGAAAGAAAGGAAAAATGACAAGGCAAAACTATTAAGCAAAACAGAAAGAAAGACTACCTTGGGCTAGCTAAGTTTAACACTGGTCGCATTACAGCACAAGCAAGAAGTTCCCTAACTACATAACGGAAGAAAGAGCACTGCAGATCTGCTGATTTAAATGTGAAAGAAATGAGACCATCCATCAGATGCTGCAAAACCTGAGAATGAAAGATACAGATTGTCACTGAACTTTCAATCCTTTAAATTCAGGGGCAACATGTGTTGATTGGATGGCTTTGCAAATTTAAAGAATAAAAAATAACTAATCAACCTTGTGCTCAGCTTCAGCAGAAAACAAAGCGGGGTGCAATTTGTTCTCAGCAGCCAGGACAAGTCTTAGTTCCTTGTCTCGCTGTTCAATGGAAAGCAAACCAGGCTGTTGCTTTTCAATCTTTGCTTGAATGGCACGAAAAAGCTCCAAGTGGGTGCAGATGAGATTAATAAGATCCCTGTTAGTCAAGATGATTAGTGACAAAGCAAACAAACCTTGGAGGCTAAGTAAACCAAAGTAACAGTAAAGTCAGGAGAAAAGAATTACAACCTAGTCAGTAGATCAATAAGATTTACGTTTTTCATGCGACTTGAAAATTCCCCAAGAACACCATTCATTAGCTGCACCAGTTCCTCTGGACCTTCTTTATCAGGGGTTAAGCGAGAGTACCACAGATCTGTCACCCACTCAGAGACTAGATGTCTAGTGAAGTGATCTATTGCGTCCTCAACAACAGGAGAATTCACTTTCCTTCTCCAGTCAGACTTTTCAACAACCCTGGTAAAATTGAGAGATTTTTTTGTGACAGCGTACTTGATGCCGCAGAGGCAGGTTTGTTGTTATATGCAGCAGCTTTCTTACGCATTTCATAATCCAGAGCAAAGTAGCGAAGGAGAATGATCAAGGAAGCAGCAGCAGGCAAGTTGGCCCAAACTGAGGAGCTCGTTACTGAAAAAGGTAACTGAGGGTAAGTTATAATTAAAGACAAGCAAACAAGGTGTTATGTGTGTGTGTAAAAAGAGGTAGAGAGAGAATACATTTATTTACAGTTTAAATACAACAGACTGAAATAACTAACCAGAGTTTCATATGCTCAACCTATACAAATCAAATATTTTAGTTGAACCCCTAAAATCAGCAACCATTCCTGTACTGCAAATGTTCTCTATGCATGTGGCAGAAAAGAGAAATGTTTTCCCTAAGCCTCCCTATTTGTAGGAAATTAGCTGTATACACCCAAAGTATAACAGACTTTGCAGACCATACTTGCTCTGGTCATGCTACTTCCTTCATGGTGTCTATGAATAGTTCACCTTCGGCTTTTCTTCATCCAGTGCTTTGACAGCGTCAAGTTTTTTTTTGGTCCAAATGAAGGCTCAAACTCAAGTTATAAGAACGCAGAGGAGGTAAGTACAAGATGTCCATTGAGGTAGAGCTTATTGGCCGTCTTTGCTTTCACACCAAAACAAAGTCTCAGTGTCACCTCTACATTTTTGCGCTGTCCCTCATATCATTTTTGGGAGTGCAAAATTTTTTCCAGTCTCTCAGCCTTCCTCAATGATTGAGTTCCTCGCTTCACCGAACCCATTATTTATGCAAGTAATACGCCCATGCCCCATAGCACACCAACAGAAATAGTGCCACAAAAATGGAAAAGCTTCATCTCAAACACATATTTCAACCTTAATCAATATAAAAATCCCGATAGAAACCGACAATGCTAGTGGCCAGCATTCCATTTCCCAGTGCTAAGTTACCCATTTTTTAACTTTTTGCTAATCTATTCCTTGAAAAAATGCTAAAATGATACCAAAAGATAGAACTTAAAAGAAAAGGCAAATCAAGAAATTCTTATAATTGACAGTAACGTAAAAGAAAGTCCGATTAAAAGGTAAAGAAGAAACATAAAATTGCACATTGGAGATTCAATTCAATAAAATTAATTAAATAAAAAACATGATTATCAGCATACATTTTTAGCTAAATTAATTAATCAACTGAGTCTCAAGATACACTCACAAATTAAGAAACGAAAATACACAAACAGCGAGAAAGAGAGCAAGAAGAACTTACAAGACATGAGATAAGATAATCCAACAACACAAATAACCAAAATAACAATCCTCTTCTTGGCTTCCTCCACTAAGTCCCGTACGATCACCTGCCTTTGCGTGCTCATTTTCGCATTCACCAAAAATAGAAAACACTAAAACTCAAATCCAAATCTCGATCAATCTAAACATTTCTCTCTATCATTTCCGCAACCGATCGGATCAAAGAATGTGAAGCAGAAAAGTAAAGTGAAAATTTGACGATTGTATCGAGAGAAAATGTGGAGAATCGAAGAAGACCTGGTTAAGCATTTCGCGTAATTAAATTGATAGAGAAGAAGAGAAGTTCAACGCCGGGACCGTTAGGTTTTTTTTACTCGGGTTGCGTGTGTACGTTGGAAATTATTTATTTATTTTTCTCTCTCTCACGTTCACAACTACTCTCAACTAAGGATTTTCTGTCAGTTTCTTTTATACCATGCTATATTAAATTATAATTTAGTCTTTCTAATTTTACAAAATAAATTAAATATTTTTTTTATTTCAAACCCTGATTAATTAATTTATGTTGACTACTTTAAATTTAAAATTATTTTATTTCAAAAATATCTATTATTTATTATTATTTTTTTTTGCTTTCTTTTTTTATTAGAACAGAAATAAATTGAAAAAAGAAAATAAGTTACAAATAAATTTAACAATATAGGAACTAATTGAACTAAATGGGATTTTTTTTGAAAAAACTAAACTTTCTTTGCTGAGTTATATTCTTTTTTTTTTTTTTTAAGAAATCCTGATTTTAAATTTTGAATTAATTTTTGTTTTAAAAATTTGTTATTCTGTTAATTTTAGGAACAATATATTAGTAATATTTTAAGAAAACTTGAATGAAAAATTATCACTCTATCATACTTTTATTATAAATGATACATAAAAAAAAAAAAAGCATAGAAGGATAATCTTTTTCTTATTATACGGTATAAATAATTTCTATTTCCAATCCTAGGAATCAAGACATTTTCAAAGATGTTTATTTTCATATCTATTTAAATAAACGGTTGGCCAACAAACAATAGTATTAAGTTTTCTTTTTTAATTCGATGTTTTTGGATCAAAAGGTTTTAAACTTGAGGAATGAATCACTAGTATGTTGGTACGTGTGGTTTTTTTTCCCCCAAAATTGAATATTAAGGAAAAAGTTGTCCATAATTAGTTTTTTAAAAAAATACGAATATATTATAAAGAGATGTAAGAGTTGTAACTTCTAGTTGAATAAGTAAAATGTAAAACGTAAAGGTACTATCTTTCCTTTTCCAAAATAAAATATTTTACTTTAAAAATAGATTAATTGAACATTAGTATTGCAATTAAAGTACATAAATGCTAAACCAAGCTCATAATAAATAAAAAAACCATTCAATATTGCAAATGGAAACAAAAGGCAAACATTAAATATACCATCAAACTATTGGGGTGCCATTAGTTTTGCACACAAACTATTTTTTTGCATTGATTTTATCACTAAACTATTTTGATTTATCCATTAAGGACTTTTGCTATGATTACTTATAAAAAAAAGTTAAATTTCATATAAATGACGTCATTTCTTATAAAAAAAACAATATAATTTAGATGGAAACTAGCTAGATACTCGTACTACGCTACGATCGGACAACTATTATACACGTAGAGTAAACAATTTGTATGGTGTGATGCAAGTAGAAGTTTTATTTATGAAGATTAATATAAATCGAATCTATATATTAAGCCAACTTATTTTATATTTATTAACAAAATAATCTATAATATTAGTATAAAAATTTATATTTGAATAATCAAGAGCTTATTTCAAAATATTAATTAAATTATTTTATTTAAAATGCAAATTTTAAAAAATGAAAAAATAAATAACAAATAATTGATGTTATGTGTGCATATATAATTAATTTATAAGAAAACTATTATATAAGTATCATACCTAGTAAGTAAGCGAGGTTTGTGCATTGTTGCGGACACTGCTTATAAAAAATAGTTGTCTAACCACGTAACACCTGCAGTTAGATAACTATTATATACGCAAGGCTAACGATTCATATGATGTAATATGAGTAGAAGTTTTATTTATGGAGATTAATGTAAATCGAATATATATATTAAGCCAACTTGTTTTATATTTATTAACAAAATAATTTATAATATTAGTATAAAAATGTATATTTGAATAATTAAGAGGTTCTTTCAAAACATTAATTAAATTAGTTTATTTAAAAATACAGATTTTAGAACGTGAAAAAAAAAAACAAATAATCAATGTTATGTGTGCATATATAATTAATTTATAAAAAAAACTACTATACATGCATCGTACCTAGTAAGTAAGCGAGTTCGTGCATTGCTTGTAGACTCGCTTATAAAAAACGAGTTTAGTTTTTTTAGTTAATTCTTGTTGAAATAGAGATGCAATACAATTAATTTCAATCAATATTTTATTATAATAATATTGTACAAAAAAAATAATCTATTTTAATTCACTCAATTTACGAGTTTACAAATTACTAAATGTATTTCAACATATCCTCTCTAAAACTTTGATATTCTCTTCCTAAGTCATACATGGTCACCTTTTCATTGATGGAATTTTTTTTTTTTTAGTAAACAGTTTGCACATATTTGCCTAAGTTTGGACAAAACTAAAACCCAAATTTACATAACATTTATATGTCTTTTCGGTTAGAAACTTAGAAAATTCTTTTGATTTTAAATTATCATATAAGTTATAAACACTTAAGGTCTCTGCAAATTTTATAAGATGCTCCTTGGCATCTTCTTATTTTTCATTAAAAAATTTAAAATTAAGACTCGTATAGTCTTTCGGCTAAGACCTCGACATAATATGAGTTGAGTAAGAAAGTTTAAGATCAAACTCACCAACAGATTATGTCAACTTCTATTCGAATAACTTTTCCAAGTTCTCTTTAGTAAGATGGTGGCATTACCACTAAAAATAGCAACATAATGAAGTGGTTGGTAGTCATGTACAATTGCATGATGGTTGTTTCTTGGGGGAATGTCTTTTCTATCATCCAATTGAATATACGAGCATGAGATGATCATCAACATTGATAGGTCATAGTTTGAGAGATAAAAATTTTAGGAATTTTATCTATATATAGTAGTTGTGTGATTTACTAAGGAATTGGATAAATACAATATTTTTGTATCAAATGACCTTAAACATTTGTTTCTATTTTTATTAAAGTCCGAAGTCGAGCATCCTAAAAAACATTCAAGACTTCGATCATGGTCCGAATACTCGAATATGGAACAGTTGTAGCAAGATCCCGAGCAATGAGTTGAGGTAGGCCACCTGCTAATAGTGCTAACAAGCTACCATTGTTGATTTGATGATTTGAATGATTGTTAACATTCTCGGTGTTAAGCAAGTTGGTGTTGTCAATATTGTGATTAGTATCATATAAGATATTATCATTAATGTGGGTAGTTGAGATAGCGAGGATTGATGTTTTTCTTGGTTGTCTTGAAATGGATCATTGTTCTTCATAATTACTAATTCTCTAATGGAGTCGCCAAAATATATAAAGGGTTCTTGAAAACCGATCGGATGATTGATCCATAGGTCAATCAAGATATAAAGAGCAAGTGTTATGATTTTATAAAAGCAACGATCAACGAAAATGATACAAATGGTGAGAGACATAAAAGGAGAATCATACAATACTAGCAATGTATAAGTTGAGTGGTTGACGGACGAGTACTCAAAGTTCTAACAAATGAAGTTTTAGATATTGTCTAGTGTGTGAGTGAGAGAGCTTTAAGATAGAGAGTTTATGGATTTCTTTTGTTATAGATTAAAAGTTATGAAGTCAAAATTTTTCTAATACAAAAGTTTTAATCTCCTTATAATCATGTGAGGTTGGTATCTATAGTGAAATAAGATGGTCTTTGACTATTAAGATCATATCACGTTATTCAAGTTTAGACGAGTCAAATTTAGTTTGAAGGATTTAAGTTTATTAGGTTAAACTCGCTTCAATTTGCTAGAAAAAACTAAAAGAAGTAGCAATTGGATCCTTTTTTAACGGATCTTGCTCCGATCCTACTAAGTTAATCTTCCTATACATTTCAATTGACAAGGCATGGACAATAGTCTTGTCAAAATATTGGTGTATATCCTTGCAACCCAAAATCTTGTATTGGGTGAGGCTTCATCTCGTTGTGTTGCTTGGACTCTTACCAAAATTAAGAAAAATAACATAGATTAGCACATAATAAAAGTTAGCTAAGTTAATTAATTAATTTTAGCAAAAATCGAGATATACATAGATCATACACAAAACATAGTATACAAGTATACTAATTTTTAATTTTATTATCATCCATCATTCATGAAAATTGCTTCAACTTCATTATTAATGTGTTTTTTTTTTTATTAGACGGTAAGAATATTTTTAGACCAACTTTCATGATAACCGAGATTAATTTTTTTTAATAAATAATTTTAAGAATGCACTCTCATATGTGCATTCAATTCATTTAGTAAATTCCTTTAAATACTAACTCCAAACTTTAAATCTAAAAAAATTAAAATAATAAAGCCTCCTTTCCAAATGTTTCCTTGGAGTTTTTGGCAAGAGATTACATGTTTGAATCTCCAATACAAATAAATAAATAAATTAGATATAACACAAATTATATATATAGCCAATTTAGATCTGGTTAGCCAAACTAGTCAACAATATTACTACTTTTCTTGTATGAGTTAAATATTCAATACGACTTTTCCTATATTAAAGAAAGAGAGTTCTATCTGATCCATATCCTAGGCAAAGTAAAGCAAGCTTGGTCTTTTTTTTAAAAGGAAAAAAATAAAAATCTAAGAGCCCCTAAAATTAACTTTTATACAGTGAAATTATTATTATTTTTTTTAACATTAAATAAACTATCCCCCACCACTTATTGGATATGTTTACAAAAAAAAAAAAAAAAAAATTAATATTATTATTATTTGAACTTTTGAATTCAAAAAATAAATAAAAGACAATTTTTTTAAAAAACGAGGCCAATTCCTTAAAGCTATATATATATATATATATATATTTGTCTTCTTCAATAAAATTTAAATCCATAACGATAATGGAAAAAGTGCGCTTACTAATTAATCAACTAGACCGAACTTCCGAAAACGGAGTTTGGTTATTGAAAATCAATTGTCTTAATTTTCGAACCAAATAACATATATCATAATATGGAACCTTCTATAGGTTTTCTTTAAAATATTAGAGATCGATCATATTCGCATGACGTATCCGCAGGCATTAGTTATTAGGTATTACACGTAGCATCTACACCAACAAATAATTTGCCTTGGAAAGTTGAAACGAAAAATGAGCAAGCAAGACATGAAATTGAAAAACGACTTTCTCGTCTGCATTAAAAACGCACAAAACGACATCGTTGCAACTGTCCACTCTATCATTCAGTGGGATCCACTAATCGAGTCTTCTTCTTCGCTTGTTCAGCAACCCATGTTGACGAAATAAATAAACGTTCAGGCTGCTTTACTTCTCCTTTCTTCTTCTCTCTTTCTCAATTTAACTATTCAAAATCCACTCGCCGGAAACATTACCGGCGATGTCGTCTCCAACTCCAGGAATTTCTCCGGTCCCCTTCAACTCCACCCCTCCGCCTCCAGTATTTAACTTCACCTCTCCGCCTCCGCCTGACCCGACCAACCCAAATGTTTCTCAGGCACCGCCGCCGACGAATTCGAGTGGTACTCTAGCGCCGCCTCCACCGGCTTCGTCTTCGCCAGGAGGATCTCCGGGATCTGCTAGGCCGTCCACGCCGGTACTGTCGGCTTTGATAGTAGGAGTAGTGTTAGGAGTGCTGGCTGGTGTGGGTATTTCTGTTTGTGTGTACCGGAGGAAGAAGAGGAAGGAAGCGCAGAGATTGTTGCTCGCTGGTCAACCTTCACAAGGAGCTAGCAAAGGTTTGCTTTTTTTGGACTTTGAATTGTATACTGCATAAAATTATTTGCATTTATGTTTGTATGCTTAACTTGTTTCGTTTCTTGTTGCATACGCTGCCGGTCCCAATTGATCGTTTTATAGAATTTCGTTTTTTGTTTTGTCTGGATCTGCTCTAGATTTATGCTTGTTCTTGTGTAATAGTTTTTTTTTTTCCATTACTCAAATTGAATATAATTATTCAATGTGAATTGTCAGATGGCCGATACAACTCGAATGCATAAATTGTCACTTTAATTTACCAATGTTGTTTGTACAATTTATTGTTAGTTGGAATCTGAAATCTACTCTTAATGTGAACTGTCAATGTTCTTTATTATTCAAGCCACTGTTGTTAATTACTTTTCTATATGTTTCTATGCTCTTTTAATGCCTCCAGATGATGGCTTGCCACTGCATTGGCAGCACGATACGGCTCCTGCTATAGACAATAAAATGATGATGTGGCCGAAGCCCACTCATCCGCAAGGAACTCCTCCAAATAACGAACTGCCGCCGATGCTTGGTATTTTTGCTGAACATCCTTCCACAAGCAGCAGCATGGGCTCCGATAAACAATTTCCACCACAGGCTCCTGGAATTGCTCTTGGATATTCACAGAGTACTTTTACTTATGAAGAACTAGCCATGGCAACTGATAATTTCTCCAGTGCCAACCTCCTTGGTCAGGGTGGTTTTGGTTATGTTCATAAGGGAATTCTTCCAAATGGTACAGTGGTTGCAATTAAGCAGCTTAAATCTGGGAGCGGACAGGGAGAGCGTGAATTTCAGGCTGAGATTGAGATTATTAGCCGCATCCATCACCGACATCTTGTTAAATTGATTGGATACTGCATTACTGGATCCCGAAGAATGCTTGTTTATGAGTTTGTAACCAACTACACCTTGGAATTTCATTTACATGGTGAGTCCTTTTCTGATTAAAGTTTCCTTATTATTAAAAGCCCCAGGATATAAAACCTGCAAAACATTCAAGGTCAAAATTATGTTTGCTCATCCATCTGCCATTCTAATGCTTATTTTCTTAGTGCACTTAAAAGTCAGATTTGTGTAATTTTATGGAAGAAAAATGGTTTCCTGTTCCAATGCCTCTCTCTCTCATGCGGACCTTCAGTAAAAGAAAAAAAGGAAAAAAAAAAAAAAAGAAGAAGCATACTCAGTTTTATTTTAATAAGTTGGCCTCCTGGTATGAAAGGGAATTTGAATAGGCTCTAGAGCAGTAGGGGGAGGGCATGGACCAATTTTAATTCATCGAAAATAATAAAGGGGAAAAGTGAAACAAAAAGAATATCAAAGTGATGTTTCATCATTTATTGGAATCAACTCTGCATGGGCCTTAATAGAAGGTTAAAATATATAGCGTAAGATTAATGTTAGGATGGAAACTGATTTACAAACAAACTTTTCATTCATTCTAAATTTTCATACAAACTGACGTGCCAATTGATTAGTGGTAAAGTGTAGTATTACAAATGATAAACGATTGATCTCTCTTGAAAAGAAGTTATTTTCACGTGTTTGCATCGAAATTTTGTATATAAAGTTTTTCTGTATAGCATTACTTAAGATATCAACAACTTTACAAGCAGTTGTTCATTAATTAGTGTGGCAATTGGCATATAGGACAGTTTCTTTAGCAAGCTAATGCAGTGTTTAGTACATTTATGATAAATGAAACTTTCAATCATTGAATTACATAATTAATATAGCACCTATCATAAATCAACACATCTGTTACTAAATTAAACTCAGTAAAGGTGCCAGAGTGTCTAGCATCATTCATGGCATTGTACTGAGAATCATAGTATTCAACAAATTGACAGTTATGTGTGGCAGTAAGATGAGGAGTTATCGTCTAACCAAAGATATATTACATATCAGGGAATGAGAGACCAACCATGAACTGGTCAACAAGAATGAAAATCGCAGTTGGCGCAGCAAAAGGATTAACATATCTGCATGAAGACTGTGAGTATTTTTTACTTGCTACCTTTAGCTCGTCTACTTTTCATGTTTAAGCTGTTTGTCTCTGAGTTCCCATCTCATTTTGGGTAAAATATATTTTCAGGCCAGCCTAAAATCATACATCGAGATATCAAGGCTGCTAATATTCTTATTGATCATAGCTTTGAAGCAAAGGTAGGGTTTGTAACATTGAAAATGTTTCTGTAATGATTCTTGGTCATTTTTTTGATAAACTTGGAGATTTTCTATTGTCCACAAAATTGACTCTTGAAGTTAAATCAAATAGCCATGAACGCAATCTTAATTTGCCTCATTGCCCTCCCTGCCCTCCCTTCCTGACAAAAGGTCGCGTGTTACTCTAGATTTCAAAGGCTATTTGGATGTCTCTTCTGTAAAAAAATTGAACATGCAAATTTCCTTAAAATGGAGTATTAGAATTGAAAAATGAAGTCATTATGGTTGTGAAGTGGAACCAATCGAGGAGTGAAAGCAAAACAAAACCCAAGAGAACCATTGTCTGAAAACTCATTTTATTTGATCAATCAATATTCATAGCATAGCATGACTTGAATGAGCTAGGGATCTTATTTATAGGCACCGAAGCAATTAAACATAGGAAAACCAAATCCTAATTGGAATAGAAGAACTCACTCTTAGAAAAATCTTAAACCCAGAAGGAGTAGAAAAGCTATGTTACAGGATTCCAACTAGATAGTAAATATAACTTGAAATCTATTGTAATAGTAAATAGTTGATAATATAATTTCTCAACACATCATAAAATCTAGAATACAAAGCTACAATTCTTTTGGTGTGTTTGGTAATGCGTTTGCACTATGTTTGAAAGTGCTTTTCAAAGTGCGTTTGGGCTGAAAAAGCATAAAAAGCATCATTTTGATGTTCTTTTTTAGGTGTTTTTGGATGATTTTGATATGATGGTGTCAAAAACATTAAAAAAAAAAACATCAATTTGATGCCTTTTCAAATTGATATTTTTTGATATGCGGATGTTGAAAACATAAAAAAACATCAATTTGATTCCTTTTCAAATTGATACTTTTTCAGTCCAAAAGCAACTTTTACAAAAACACCTGCACCGCATCACCTCGAGGTTGAACGGTATGACTCAAAACACTAAAAGTGCATGTTTTCCCTCGTTTCAGATTGCTGTGTAAAACTATATAGGTTAACCTTATTTATTCTATTCGGTTTGTTTGATGTTAAATTATCTCTCAAAAATAAATAAATAAATAAATAAACTTATATAATGTGATGAGTATGCTTGGATTCTTTTTGTCCAGGTTGCTGATTTTGGACTTGCCAAATATTCTTTAGATACAGAGACCCATGTCTCAACTCGAGTGATGGGAACTTTTGGGTAAGATAAACTTGTCACATTATGGTGAATAATTAAGTTTGTACCATGTAAACTAATTTTGGAAAAAATTAAAAATGAAAGAGTAGATGGTTTGGGTTTCTCTTCCACCACCCTTACCCCTCTGCTTTTCCTTAAATGTGGGAATATTTCTTGAACAATTTCTAAATGCGCTGTTCTAACTGCAGTTATATGGCCCCAGAGTATGCCTCCTCTGGGAAGCTTACAGAGAAGTCAGATGTCTATTCCTTCGGTGTTGTTCTTCTAGAGTTGATTAGTGGGCGTCGGCCTGTTGATAGAACTCAATCCTTCATTGATGACAGTATAGTTGATTGGGTATGTATTTGTTTCTTAGCGTTAGCTTATAACAGTGCAAAATTACCAAATCAATTATAATATCCTCAAGTGAGAATTCATTGTTGGTAATTTGGCAATGTTAAGGAGACAATGATGAATCACCCTTTTTCCTCCCTTAAAACGAAAAATTGTTGATAGTGGGCTGGATTTCGGTGTTTTTGCGGAGTTTTACTTGCTTATGCCAATACTTATTTACTAGATGCTTATTTTTACTTGCTTATTTTGATGCGTATGCTTATTTACTAGATGTAGAGGTATCCAATTGCTGGTCAATGGGATTGAGTTGAATTCTATCTCCATGGCAGTTGACATCTTTTCAGGCACTGTATGCGTTTGTGCTTGTATCATTTTCTTTTAGTGTTATTCGTTAAATTATTTGGACCTTAGGTTCATGAACCTACAAGGCAAAGACTTTGTTATTGGTGGAATATTGGAAAGGGATTGTCATGTGAAAATAACATATTCTTTCATGAATATCCAGGCAAGGCCTTTGCTCAAACAAGCTCTGGAAGATGGCAACTGTGATGCTGTTGTTGACCCAAAACTGCAGGATTATGATTCCAGTGAAATGATCGGAATGATTTCTTGTGCTGCAGCTTGTGTACGTCATTTAGCACGGTTTCGGCCGCGAATGAGCCAGGTAATTCCAAAAGTGTTTATTATGCTGCTTTTGATCTTGAATAGCTGTTGTTTCTTTATTCATTTGATCTTGATTCAAAGTTGAATGGCTTCAATTATTCCGATGAGGTCATAAACTAGTTGATTTCTTTTCTTGAATGATCTTGGCACTGTCAAGACTTTTTCTTTGAATTATTTGTTTAAGCACTTAAAACTCATAACCAATATTTTAAAATATATCTAGTGTTCCAAACCTCCTGGTTTGGTTAGAATTGTGATTTATATATATATATATATATGTGAGATGTTCCAAGTTTTACTTTCACCAGAACCAATATGGTTTGGAATCTAAAATATTAGAACTACACTCTATGCTGGCATGTAACCCTGCTGCATTTTTATGCAAAGCAGATACTTCGAGCTCTGGAAGGAAATATGCCTTTAGATGAACTGAATGAGGGGATCACTCCTGGGCTTAGCACAGTGTACAGTTCTGCAAGCTCAGATTATAACACTCGCCAATACGAGGAGGACATGAGGAAATTCAGGAAGTTAGCACTAGAAAGTGTTGAGCATGATAGCACAGTGAACCCACCAGCAAATACAAGCAGTCAGGAGCGCAGTGAACCCACAAGCGAGTCTGGTCAGAACCCATTCAGCTCAAGCACAGAAGGCCAACAAACTACCCCAGAGATGGATTCACAAACAATGAAAAAAAACATCATGGATACCCAGGAAAGGTCTTGACTACATTCCTTGGTTTGTTGAAGTCACGCCTACTTTGGACAAATCGAAAATTCATGTCGCCAAAATAAGGTTGATGGATGGGGTTACAAAAATTCAAAATTTCAAGCGCACAGTTCAACTGAAATTCCACGGTTTAACTTTATCGGTCTGGTGGGTTCTTTTTTCTGCACGAGAATTACATACGTGAAATTGATACTACTGCTATTCTTTATATTTGTTATCTCCCTTTCCAGTGATAGTATATGCTTAGAATATGTAGAATTTGATTGGATACCATTTAGCTTGCTCCTTTTTTTTAAGGCGGGGAGATATCAAATTAATTAAATTGAGTTGTAGTTTGTTTTATTTTCCATTTTTTGTCATGTATATAGGTGAGGTGATGTAACTGAATCTTGAATGGTATTGGATTGATTCCGTGTAATGCAATTGTCAATTTGCCAGGGATAATACATTGGGCCAGACCCAGACTGGCAGAACTGCTGGGTCTGGGTTTCTTGGTGGACGGTGTGTGGGCCTTGCCCTGGGTTGGGCTACGTCCAGATGATAGATAGCTTTACAAGGTGACTAGGATTCCATTTCTAAGATAGCTTTGCAGCATCTTAGATGGATGTTAGAGATGATAATGATTTGTGTGTGGTACGGTGAATAAGATGAAGTTTTATTTGGGTCTGTGTTTGGTAATGAAGGAGACAAAACAAAGTATAGAAAATATCTATTTTGCTCTTATATATTTTTGTTCTGCTTTTTGTGTTTGTTATGCAGTTGTAAGAGTTTTTTTTTTTTTTTTTTAATTATAATTTCTTTTAATATTTTTAATACTTCTATTTCTTCCACTCAATAGGAAGAAATTATGATGTTTATTTAAGTACTCGAGGCCCAGTCTATTAACTGACGCGGACGATGCGTCATCTTCGTCCCACGTAATCTGCAGCCTTTGTGCACCGTTTGCGGCAAAGTCCAACGAAAAAAATTAAAATTCTTTCTTTTCGCATTGTTTTTCACTCAAAAACACTTTTAAATGCTCCCTTTGTTGTTAAGGACATAAATCTAACATAAAAAACTGTTTTTTTTAATTGTTTTTAATTTTTTTTTTTTACAGCAAATCAACATAAAATTTGATTTAAAAGTTTCCAGATCTACCTAAAAATTGAAAAATTTTGGTGTTTATAAATTTGTGATAATGAGAGCTTTTGTTTGATGATGTTATTGGCTGGATTACATCCCCAAAAATTCTCTCTTTTTTTTTTTACCTAAAATTTAAGATTGATAAGTAGAGGGCATGGTTTGAAATTTGAAAAATTTATAAAGTAGAATGAAAATGTAAATATTTTCTTCTCCCAGTGTCCTCTGAAAGAAAAAAAAAAAAACCATAATTTTTGCACATTTATATTCCGAAAACATGGATAAAAATGAACTACATAACCGACATTTATATTCCGAAAATCAACATAATTTTTGTTTTATATTTTTTCTTCTATTCTGTATTGGGTTGACAGAATTACCTTGAATTGCTTTAAATTTGACTAATAATAGAAGAATGGAATGGAATAAGATTAACACTCAATTCCAGTACTTTCTTGATTCAATTACTCTTTTAATTACTATAAACTACATAACCGACTTTTTGATAATGACATTACCGCATATTCTTTTTCCCATGACAATGTTCTTAATAATCCAGTAATATAGTAATAGTAATAATTCATTCTAATAGATGATCCAATTTCTTATTTTATTTTTATGGAATAATACAACATAGTCAATTGGTTTGTGTGGTTTCACTTCGATAAGCATATAAATGGCATCAATATAGAAAAATTCTACACTAGTTTTCTGTATTTGCAATTAAACATCGTTAAGTTAGAAAATCCAACAAATGGTATATCTGCACGTAAGAAAAAAAATTTACATCAATATAATTAAAAAAATTTCAATCAAATTGTTACTTTTCTTTGTTCATCCTCACAAATAAAATCATGTTTCTTTGCAAATTAAAAAAAAAAAATCATTTCGTGTTTCATAGATCAGTGGGATTTCCAACTCAACCATGTTGAGTTTTACGACAAGTCCATTTTGAATTTTATTAAATTTATTTAGGAAAAATAAGTAACAAAAATACGTCGTTGTAAATTATAGTTAAAAACATGGGCACTTTGGGGGATCAGTAAATTCACAGGTGGCATCCTTGCTGTGAATAACGATTGGGTGGCCAAAAGCCATCTTGACCTCTGTTTTTGAGTAGAAATAAAACAAAAATTAATTAATTAATTAATAACATTTTCTAAACGTCCGAATTTCCTTCTCTAATTCAAGCCAACACACGCTCTGTCTTTCTTCAAAACAAACCAAAATTTTCTGCACTAAAACTCTCTAAAAAATAAAATAATTAAAAAAACAGAATTGCCTTCTCAAAAAATTCCTTGAATCCATGGCTTCTCGTAGACGCATGCTCTTGAAGGTTATAATCCTCGGTGACAGCGGGTACTCTTATCACTCCTCTTTCTCGTTCTCCAATTTTTATTTCAATTTCTGTTGTTAAATCTGATGTTTTTGTGTTTTTTGGCTAATGTGATTTTTGTTTTGGTAATTTATGCAGGGTGGGCAAGACATCGCTAATGAATCAGTATTGCTCGCCAGAAGCTAGATCTTTTTAAACTTTTGTGTTTTTCATTTAGAATTTTTTTCTTTATTTAATTGATTTTTTTATTTTTATTTTTTTGGTATGGATTTTTAGGTATGTGAATCGAAAATTCAGTAATCAATACAAGGCGACAATAGGAGCTGACTTTTTAACCAAAGAAGTTCGGTTTGAGGATAGATTGTTCACATTGCAGGTCCTAAACACATTTTCATTACTGTTTCATAAGTTTATTTATTGAATTTGAAATCTGTATGTTTAATAATTGTTGTCTAGTAGATTTTATTTATTATTGCTAAATCATTGATTTTAGTGCATTAAATTGCAAAGTACATCCAACATTGTGTTATTAAGTTTAAGGTTCAGCTGCTGTCAATTAATTGTGTATAATAAGTAGTAGCTATTATTAATTATTTCAAGCTATTAGTTAAGGATTTATAATTTAAAATATTAGTAATGTGAATAAGCAACCGGTTTAGACTTTTGATAGAAAAGGCGAATGGAAAGGAATTAGCTAGTAGGAATGAAAGCATGAAATTTGATGGGCATTGCCTGTAAGTGGATGTTCTTATTTCCGTTTTATGGTAATTGATTTCAAATACTTATAATAGCTTAAACCCATATTCAGAAAGGACGAGAAGACACCTAGAAGAGGATGTTTGATGTATTATGTACAGTGTCTTCGAGAATGAGAATAATTTATTATGCTGCATCCTGTATTTAAATGGTTGAATGACTATACAGAAATAAGCAATAGTTTGTTGGCTATAATTGTGCTTTGAGGTATTTTCCGTTATTGTGATTGTTGATGATTTCTACTTCTGGTCCAAACTCATAGTTAGTTGTCATACTGATGATAGGAGGTAGGAAACAAATATCAGAATGTTAATTTGAAAGGGAATTTTAGAAAGAACTGTACCTTATTTTGGCCTCAGATGATAATTAATATTGTTTTATCTTAATTATAGTGAATAATATTTAACTTCAAGTCTTCTCATAAGTTAATCATGGCATGACTTTTTGTAATTTTTACACCAAAAATACATAAGTATGAAGGTTTATCAGTTTTGTTTATATATTATTTTCCGTATTTGAGTGGAAATGCCTGGTTGTGTAAACCAAGTAACTTTGTTCTCTGCCTCGATATCTATATGTGCAGATATGGGATACTGCAGGACAAGAGAGGTTTCAAAGTCTTGGAGTGGCTTTCTACCGTGGTGCGGACTGCTGTGTTCTTGTGTATGATGTGAATGTCATGAAGTCATTTGACAATCTCAACAATTGGCGAGAAGAGTTTCTGATTCAGGTGGTTATTTGCTAATTGGCTAGACAGATCTTTTCATAGTTCATAAACAATCACTGAAGATTGTATCCTGTGGTATTAATCTGCAGGCTAGTCCATCTGACCCTGAAAACTTCCCATTTGTTGTGTTGGGGAACAAGATAGATGTTGACGGAGGCAATAGTCGAGTGGTAGGATGATTTTTCCCTTCTCATGACATTTGTTTTTCCTTGCACTTGAGAACCTTTCATAACATGTTTTACTTTCCATATATTGAGGGGGAAAATCCTACTCTCTTATGTAGATCTCTTTTCTCATTGGTGTTGTTTTATCAACTTTAGGTTTCTGAGAAGAAAGCAAAGGCATGGTGTGCTGCCAAGGGAAACATACCTTACTTTGAGACTTCTGCTAAAGAAGGTTTCAATGTGGATGCTGCATTTCAGTGCATAGCCAAAAATGCCCTTAAGAATGAACCTGAAGAAGAAATGTAAGTGTGGAAAAAATCCACTGCTCGACAACTGCTTTTCGATGGACTGTCTTTCACTTAATAGAAAGTTTTCTTTTGAAGCCAAGGAATTTTCAAGCAACACTTACTTTATTCTGTTTATAATCCTATTACATTCTTGTCAGATTGGGAAAGCCCAAGGAATTAGATTGCAACTTTTTATCAACTTAACCAATCATATATGTCATGAAATGCTAACTAATTGTGTTGTCTTTGTATGTTGGTGATGACAGATACCTTCCTGACGCCATTGATGTTTCGGGTGGAGGGCGACAACAACCGTCCACCGGGTGCGAATGTTGAAAGAACTTTCAGACCACCTGCTTTCAATTAGCTATACAAGTTTCATTACTATGTTTTCATTCGGTCATCAAAAGTTTCAGCTTTGTATCATAAAAGTGGCTCTGAAAGCAAAATTGCATTTCATCTTGTTGTGTCCCCGTGAAAAGTTTGTATTTGTATTTGTATCTCGTAATCATGCTAAATTTTGATTACTACCATACATCAATTCTACTTGTTGCAACAACGCTCCCTTAATGATACATACTTATTGGGTCTTATGGTTGTCGAGTTTCTTTGATTTATAATCGCTAATAACAGATGTAAAATTGTAAATCAGCCTTGTCCCTCAAATACAAATTTGAAATTGTAGATCACCATTTTCTTGAATCCAATTATATTTTCTATTTATTAGAAGCTTGCTCACGCGTAATTATGGTCGGCTAGTTTATTTTGGAGAGAGAGAGAGAGGAAAAGTTAAAAATCAGAGTCGGGCTTCGTAAATTTAGGCACTGGTCAGAAAGTACGTAAGGAAAGCCAAAAAAAAAAAAAAACTCAAACATTTACACAGAATTTCGGAATAGAGCTTTCCATACTGAGTGTTGATTGGATTTGATGGAGGCCAGAAAAGAAGTAACTGGGTTTCTAGACCAGATCCCGCCTCCTCGCCTGGAAGACGCCGGCCTTGAGGACTGTGCCCTCCCGCCTGACTTAATCAAAGAAGCCTTCCTTAAAGCAGCCACTGCCGTCAAGTCACGTGCCACCTCCATCTTCACCGACCAAGAAGAATCCGATGATTGCATCCAAGATCCCCGGCCAGAGGATGCTAAGGGCGCTGCTGACAAGCTAGTTGGTGTGCCGCCAGTTCCGGAGGTGTCGGATGCGTTGGTGGGAGTAGAGGTGGGAAAGGAGACGCCGGGGTCATGTGTGGCCGAGAAAGGCGGTGGATTGGTGGAGGAGGGCAGGGATAAGGTTGTTGTGGGTGGTGGTGACGTGGAGGAGAAAGAGAACGAGAAAGGTGGTTGTTTGGTTGATGGGCTAAAGAAGAAAGAAGAAAAAGGTTGTGAGGAACAGGAGCTGGAGGAGGAGAGAGAAGGAGAGAGGCCAATTTTGACTGAAGGTTTTATGTGAAAAAAAGAAGAAGTTATTTTGTTCTTAGGTTGGATTTTGCTAGTAGTTCAGTTTTGTAAGAAAATAAAAGTCGTGTTGGGAGATTAATATTTTGTAAAATCTAATGTTAATCAACCTTGAGTCTTTGAACTTGCCCTTTCTCACTCTTTATAATTTTCATATGTTAGCTGTGTTCTATTGTTTGTTCATCAAATGCATCAACTTTTAGGAATATTCATTATTCTTGAATCATCCCACATAAATGTCTAGCTTGAGTGGACATCTTTCTTGTGTTTCCTTAGTGTTGAATTTTCGAATGCTGAAATTGTCCACTGTATGATCTCGGTCTCTTTTGTCATCATCTTGTCTAGTTTACAATTTGATTCATTTAATGGACGAATAATTTTGCCGAGCTTCATCACTACACAGAAGCTTTATGTTGAGTTTGTTATTGAATGATCTAGATCTTCATAATTTGCTGGTGACAAAATTAACTTTTACGAGAAAGTTGTGATACTAGGATTTAACCAAAATGCTGTGTGCTATGCCAGATAGACAGGGATTGAAAACTCATTAGTGTATCATATGGATTATGTTTATAAGTCTCTTTCAAAACCCAGTTCTGATGCCTGTAGTTGTAATCGCTCCAAGTGCTCGACAGCATCTGCTAGAGGAACTTCCAAAGATGCAACCCTGATTGGCCGTTAAGGGAAGAAGGGACTACTTTGCCTTTAGATTATTGGTGGCGGAGTAATCAAGAATAAGAAATTGAAGGTGGGTGCCCTTTTTATAATATTTGTTTTCGAAAAGTTGTCTTTTGTGATGATAACAATGATAGTATATTTCCCATGTTTCTTCAATGTCACTACATAGGTGTAGTTCACTAAAGGCTGAATTGCAGTGCTCCAAAGCAACTTGGATGATCATGACAGGTTATTCCCTGGAGAAGACTTGCTTTTTTTGTTTGCACTATAATATGGATGCAAAGGGAATTCTTAATGGCAGCAGAGCTGGAAGAATTTCTGACCTAACAGGATTCTGTCTCCGTGGAAAGCTAAGTCGTCACCATAGCAGAGGGACAAATATGGCTGAAAACAAGTCCTATAATATTTTTATTGAGAAGATATACTGTTACTTTCAGGTTTGTTTGGGAAGAGTAGAATTAGAGATTGATAAAAAGGCAAGGATATGGGCTCATGTGAGTAGGAAACAGAAAATATCTATTCTAGTTCTGTCATCAGCTATGGGTTCGTTTATTTGAAGATTTGGAATGGTGATCTATTCTTGATTTTTTTGAGTGTTATTATGTGGAAGGTGAGGTCTATTCATGAGGGTGTTGTTGGGTATGAATTCGATTGGTTATAGAAATAGGCACCCGGGATTTTGATGTTGAAACTGGTATTCTGGAAAACCACATTGGAGATTTGAGGTGCTTTTGGATTTGCAAATGAATTAAGCTCTATATTGCAGCAAGGTATAGAGACAATAAGGTGTGGACTGTTGCTCGCCAGGAGATAAATAAAGGTATATTACCTCGGGTGCAAAGATATTTCAAATAACAGAACTTCACCTACTAGGAAAGTGAAGAAGAGAGATTAAGGAAAACTGGTTTGGTTCTTTTATAATTAGAATGCATAATCATGCATATTTGGTGAGCAAACCTTTCTTTTATTGTTTGGTTACTTGCAATATCTTGAAAGATAGTGTTCGTCGTATGAGCCTCCTCTGGAGGTAGGAGGTGAACTTCTATAGTTTCAATTTGTCATAAATTTCGATCATATATTGACCGTTTGCGTGGAGTCCCATCGGTTCGTATTTCACCAGCACTAAATTTCTTTTGTTTTTTTGCCTTATGTACAAAACATGCCATTGAATTTGATTGCTTTTTGTGGTGTAATTGGTTTTCTAATGGGAATCAATTCTTGGAAGTTAGAGCCAAAAGCTTTGAAATGATAGCATACCAGACATAGTGTGAAAAGTTGAAAAAGAAACATAGATTTCAGTGGCTGCTTTTCTACTTTTGCTAGATGTAGCAGCAACCTTGCCCGAGAAGCTTTGTACACAGGGATTGCCAGCATCTTTACTTGGCCTCTTGCTCTGTTATGGAGCCTTCGATGTGTCCTCTTGCATATAGCTGGGCCATCTGGAATCTTGGATTAATTAAAATGGGTATCTGTTAGAAAAATTTCAACTTCCAAAAACCAGAAACATCAAGCTGTCCATTCCCCTAAAACCTATTGCATTATTGAAAAAAAAAAAACTTTAATTACAGTATGGGTGCAGAACAAGAGCTATCAAAGTCATTAATGTGCGCATGTTCTTTGGTTCAAAATGATTGGTGGTGATGGATTGTTGTCTCATCCCTGGACCACATTATTCATGTAGGTAACCAAGAATCCTTGAACAGGCATAGTGCTTGTATGGCATCCTTGTATGGTATCCGTGTGTGAATAATTAGGATTACTGTATACTCTAATTATGACCTGATGTTATTTTCATGGTGAAACATAACTCACTTTTAGCTGTCATCTTGCCTTTATGTATGTTTGGTGAGATTGATTAAGATTGTATTTGCAGAAGTCAGTTTCAACACAAAACTTCAATATTTGCAATTTTGTATCTGTAAAATTTTATATCTGAATCTAAAGGCATCTCTTAGGAACCAAAAACTTACAAGACTGAGAACAAAGTGGGATCTAGACTTTGGATATGTGAGCCAAGGCGAGATTACTAGGCTTGTTCAGATTTTTCTCTTCTAACAGTTAAACAACCTAAATGTCTATTTTTTATCGTTTTGGAAATCGAAATAAATGATACTTTTCTTCATAATCACATTAGCAATAATAGCATAGTATATGCTGCATGCCCTGTGTACAGTCAGTATCGATTGTGTACAAAGACAGAATTAAGAGAGCATGTTGACAGCAGGAGGCATCTCCATTTCCGAAATGTGCCATGTGACTGACTGTGATGGTAGAATTCACTTTTCTGCATTTGGTGTGTGAATGCCTCTCCGGTACGTGTGTGGCTGCGGTCTATTTGCAATTATAGCCCACAAGTGATAGCTTGACTAACAGCATCTTCCACACTAGAAACTATTCGTGGAAAGATATTGTTCTTGTACTTTTCTTGATGATCTTGCAATGAAAAATCATGCCAGGAAAAAGACAACAGTGCATGAAATAGGATATTCTAAAGCTTAAAGGAAACTCTTTCAAGATAGTCAAAAGCTTCATGGAGACTCTTTTCTCTTGTTTGTCTCTGTCTATCTCACGTTTATTCTTTGCTATTTTATTGTACCAAATCAGCTAGAAAGAAGGGAGAGAAGTTAAAGAAGAAACATACCAGGGAACAGAGAGTACAGGTGGAATTCGAATATCCAAAAATTATGTGTAGCATAGGAAAGTGTTAACCAAAAGGCTGGTGTTCTTTACTCTTTTTCAGTTAGACCAGTCTTAGGTTACCAATTCTATTTTAGCTAAGCAAGTTAGAAAGGGTAGATTTTGGCATCCTTGAAATATACATAAATATAGGAATTGTTGTAGAAACTTGGACTGGAGTTCTTGGATTGAGAATTAAATATTCAAAGAAGTTGGATACTTTCTGATGGAAATATAAAAGCAGGAAATAAGGAACCTGATGGCTAGGATTCAGCCAAAACACTGGATTTTGATATTGCTGGGTGCAATCCTGAGTGGTTCTCTTGTTGCAGTTTCAGTTTTGGTTTTGGCTGAACCAAGTTTGACACAAGAAGGGTCAAGGACTGCTGAAGCCGAGTCTCATCGTGCAATGAGAATATTGAGGCTTGTACGAGAAAAAGGCCGAGTAGGTTATACGCATGTTTGGCCGGTAAATCCAGTATTTCATTAGCTTTTCTGATTTGCATACAACACTATGGGATTTATGCAATTCTTATGTGAGTCTATTAGCATGTTTTGTTCGGAAGTTCGGACTACCTTAAAATAGTTTCTTGAGGTTTGCAGATAAACTTTCAGTCAACTAGGACTTGGGAAGTGATTTCTGACAGATTCATTTATTCACTTATTATGTTTCTGCAGAAACTTTTTCTTTTTTGTGTAATTTGTGGGATCTGGGGGGTCGCAGGAAATGAGATTTGGCTGGAAAATTGTTCTGGGTAGCATAATTGGATTCTTTGGAGCCGCATGCGGGAGTGTGGGAGGTGTTGGTGGTGGTGGTATTTTTGTTCCAATGCTTACGCTGATCATTGGGTTTGATGCCAAATCAGCCACAGCGATGTCAAAATGTAAGTACAATTTTATCTTTCCAAGTTCAAACACACTTGACCACTTCCAGAATTTTCTAGATTTACTGAGCTATTAGGAATATTGACGTCGAAAGCAAACCATTCAATATTTTTCTCAAGTTTCAGAATATGAATCATCTTTCAGTTTGACATACTGTTTCTCAAACTGGTTTGAATTTTTTACATTGTCAGGTATGATCACAGGAGGAGCAGCTGCAACAGTTTACTACAACTTGAAGCTAAGACATCCTACACTTGAGCTGCCCATAATTGACTATGACCTGGCTCTTTTATTCCAACCAATGTTGGTGCTTGGAATTAGTATTGGAGTCGCTCTCAATGTGATTTTTGCTAACTGGATGATCACAATTTTGCTAATTGTTCTCTTCATAGGTATTTATAATTAAGAGTAGCAATTTTATCTGTCATAATCTTGGACAACTTTCTTGATTATCCTTGGTGAGCTGCAGTGACTTCAACTAAGGCATTCTTCAAAGGTGTTGAAACATGGAAAAAAGAAACCAAAACTAAAAAGGTAGTCTGAATTCTCTCTCTGTCCATGCTAATTTACATATATTCTAAATCTCGTGTTGATAGTCTCACTTGTTATTTATATTTTTAGGAGGCTGCTAGAAGCTTGGAATCTGATGGTTGGTGTACGAAATTCAATTTTTGGATATTGTCAATATTTTTTGGATCGCAAGACTAATTTCTCTTCCATCAGATGGCAGAAATGAAGAAGTTGACGGCGAACCTCCTCCTGGAGGCTCCACAGATGGTGCTCAAACAGAAACCAAGGAATCTAAAAAAGAGCATGTGAGAGCGAGAGTACCTGTATGTATTTCTTTGATATACATATGGTTTTTCAAGACTGATTTCTGTAACCTTCTTAGGTCTCTATTATGGAGAATGTTTACTGGAAGGAGCTTGCACTCCTTGTTGCTGTCTGGTTGCTCATTCTTGGATTACAGATTGGCAAGGTATTATTAAGTCCTTGTCCTTTTCCTATCATTTAATAGACTGTTCCTCTTTGCTTTTGTGTGTTCATGAAATGGACTGAAGAGAACACCTATCTGGTTGACACAGAATTACTCGACAACCTGTTCAATGGCATATTGGCTATTGAACATATTGCAGGTACCTTCACCATGATAATTAGAAAATAAACAACTGAAATTAACCTTAATTTCATGAAAACGGTATTATGTTTTGTTCTTGCCTTTCAGATCCCAGTGGCTTTTGGCGTGAGTTCATATGAGGCATTTAGCCTGTACAAAGGGCGAAGAAAGATTGCCTCCAAGGGAGATGCAGTCACAAACTGGAAGATAAGCCAGCTCTTTCTTTATTGTATGATTGGCCTGTTGGCTGGTATAATTGGTGGGATGCTTGGACTTGGTGGAGGATTCATTTTGGGCCCTCTTTTCCTGGAGATGGGAATCCCCCTCAGGTTCAATTTCCTACTTCATATCAATTTGTGGAAGTAAAGCACGAGCTTATGCCCAAACTGAAATATTGAAATTTCATCTTCGTAGGTGTCTAGTGCCACAGCCACCTTTGCCATGATGTTTTCTGCATCCATGTCTGTCGTGGAATATTATCTTCTCAAGCGTTTCCCAGTTCCTTATGGTAACTTGATTTTAGCTAGCCAATTTCTCTTCCTATCAAAAAAATATCAAGTTGAAAATGAGCATTGAGTGATTTATTGATTTTTTTGAAAGAAAAAAACAACAATGGATTAAATAATTATTTTGATGAAATACAGCTCTTTACTTCTTTGCTGTTGCAACCATTTCTGCCTTCGTTGGGCAACATGTGGTAAGAAAGCTGATCCGTATACTGGGAAGAGCATCTCTGATCATATTCATTCTTGCCTTCACCATCTTTGTGAGTGCAATATCACTAGGTATGTGTGATTCTGAACATCTGCACCTTCATAGGTTACACATTCTTCCAAAATAAAGATTCACATAAGAATCTCATACGTGACAATTCATCATTGCTGAAGGAATTCTTCTTTCTGAACAGGTGGTGTTGGCATAGCTCACATGGTCAAAAGGATCGAGAGGAAGGAGTACATGGGATTTGAAAACATTTGTTCATAGGAACCTTTGCCTTCAAAAATTTACCTTTATTTTCTGGCTCAACTTAACTTTTTTATCCCCTTAGGACAAGCAATTAGTAGTGATCTTGTGCTTGTCACTAAATCCTAATTCCATTTTGCTTAATTATTTAAGAAATTTGTCAACTAAACTGAACTAAGCTGCTGCATCCACGATATTGTTCCCCCTGTCCACCCCATTGGACATGATATTCTTCGAAGTAGGCATATTGATTCTTTGCAATACCTTGTTCAATCTCCGAATTTGAAAATTTTGAAGCTTGATCCCCTGATTTGTAGTATAGTGATTTGCCTTCTGAACCTACCGATCTCTTCGTAGATTACTGCATATCTAATTGCTTGCTCTGTTCTTTTATATGACGTTCCCGTCTCTCTGAGCAAAAGGAATGCCAATTGTATGGCTGCGTACAAATATCCAATCAGCTGCGATATTCATCTTCTGATATGGATTAATCCAATAATCTTGATCCAGGAAGGATTCTGGAAGAATTTCCCTCAAAAAATCGAGACAATGTATTCTATATTTGATAATTCTTTCAATAGTGGAGATTCTTTTTTAATAGAGATGAGCCAACAATTGCATACAGTACAATTGTATGTGTTTGAACCAATTATCTAACACTTTCTAAATTCAATTTGATCCATACATTGTGAACAAAAAGATAAAATATCAAAACAACAAACAAACAATTGAAATGGTCGTTACATTTATCCTATCAAAATCAAAATAAAATAAAATAATTAATTGCCACGTTAAATGCCACATGCCCTTGTCCTTTAAGGTGGAAAGTGAGGAAAAAGCTTGTGAACATCATGAAGATACTTCCAAGTAGCATCAACTAGGCCTCGATTAGACCATTGAACCAAAATCTGCGTGACTGCATGATTAGCCTTTTTCACCATGCGACAATCGAAGGTAACAACAAGTTCATATAGAAGATCAGAAGTGAGACGATTACTGGGCCGGTCAGCAACGGCGAGAGGAAGCGAGCCATGGAAACGTTATATAAATGCATTGTTCTTACATTTTGACATTTTGATTAGAGTTGTTATTTCATCTTTATTTTCATTTATTATTATTATTATTATTATAAATTCAGATTGTTGTTTTTAACTTTTAGGGGTTATTTATGTAGAAAAAAATTTGAAATCGCTAGCTATTTCATTTTTTGTGACATAATAAATTGATTATTCATAGTGAAGTTAGAAATACTTGTTAAGGCATGAATTTTTTTTCATAAAAATTTAAAATTTATATGGCCAACTAATACATTTTTATTTGAAGTAATGTGTACAAGTTAAAAATTGAAGGACTAAAAATTAAAAAAAATGATAAATTAAGGTTCTGTTGACCACCTATCAAATATCTTCACCCATGAATTTTACGGGCACGATAATGATCAAGGTACAAAACAATTTTTTTAAAAAAGTGGGGGTGCAACCTAATTGACTAAGAATAAAATAGATATTTCAAATAACAAATTTTTAAGCGTAAAAGGGTCAATTTACGGGAAAAAAAATAATAGAGAAAGTGGGAGTGTGGTTAGCTTATCAAGCCCCAATATCACCTCTCCATTTATTTCACTACTGAAAATATGAAACTGCTACGTTAAGTAAAAAACTGATAAAAATGAATAGTAAAATATTGTTCATCATTAATCATTTACCTCATTTCACTATTCAATATTGTTGGAAGAGTGACAATTTTATGATTTTTACAATGTTATTTTCATAATTTTCTTATATTTTTTGAGCATTCATTTTCAAATTTCACTTCATTCCTTTTTGGTTCCTTATGTTTTCAAAATGTATTTTTAAATCTTCATATTTAAAAAAATATTTTGACATCTCATGTTTTTAACTTAATCCATTTTTCTCCGACAATTTTTCAAAATATATTTTTTGTTCTTCATATTTTTAAAAGATGTTTTTGGCTTCTTATGTTTTAAAATTTTAGAACAAACATATATATCGTATTATATTTTTTTTATTGATTAAAATTAATCTCTTAAATTTTTTATTTATTATAAAAATTCTCATCAAATTAAATTTTTTTTTATGAAATTTTATTTGTTAGTAAATATGATTTATCTTTCTCTCGTGTATGAATTTTTAATATGTTTTTTTAATAAATAATATAATTCACGTGTTTCTTTACCTTATTCTTAATATACTCAATTTTTTGGAATAAAATTTTAAATTATTTTTATTACACTCTATTAACTTTAATATATCTCATACAACTTAATTTTTTTTTAAACATGTTCTTTAGTTTGTACAAAGTATGGTAATGATGTATACAAAAAAGCATTGAGATTATTGATTTTATTAAAAATTAATTATGCATTTACACATATAACACCGACTATTCTCTATTAATTATTTTAGTATTTTAAATTTAATTTATTTTATATAAAATGTTATTTTAAAAGAACCACCTAATAATTCAAATATATGTTTTTATACTCGATATTATTGATTTTATTTTGTGTCGATATATCAAATGTAAATGTTTTAAAAAGACCTAGTAGTTAATTTTTATATAAATTTTTATATTGATTGTTGATATGTTTTTCTGATATAGTATTGTAAAACAATATTAAGATATTTTTAAAAAATTTATATTTATATTATTGTAGGTTTTTATTTATGAGCGAATGAATAAAAAAATGAATCGTTTTTGTTTTTAACAACAAAATCTATAAAAAACACAAAGAAGCCTAAATGAAATATAAAATTTGATTAAAAATTATAAAATTAAATAAAATTTGTATCATTTAATATACATTAGTAGCAAAAAATAAAAAAAAAGCTGAGATATTTACTATTCATTTACTATTGTTTTAGACGTAGTCTATTTTAGTCTCATATTTTTTTGAAGAATATTTTTTGTTCCTCGTATTTTTAAAAGATGTTTCGGCCTCTTATGTTTTTACATTTTACAACAAATATATATATATATATATATATATATATATATATATATATATATATATATATATATATATATATATATATATATATCGATTATGTTTTTTTATTGATTAAAATTATTCTCTTAAATTTGTCATTTATTATAAAATTTCTCATCGAATCAAATTTTTTATTTTTTATGAAAATTTATTTATTAATTCATGTGTTATTTTTTTTTTACCTTATTCCTGATATAATCATTTTTTTGGAATAAAAGTTTAAATTAGTTTTATTGCACTCTATTGAATTTAATATATTTCTTACAATTTAAGTTTTTTTAAATATATTTTTTAATTTATTCAAAATATAGTAATGATGTATGCAAAAAAAATATCAAGATCATTGATTTTATTAAAAATTAATTATGCATCTACACATATAACACTAACTATTTCCTATTAATTATTTTTAATATTCTAAATTTTATTTGGTTTAAATAAAATATTATTTTAAAAGAGCCACCTAATAATTCAAATACATGTTTTTATATATAATATTATTGATTGTTTTTGTGCTTGTATGTGTGTGTCTATATATATATATATATATATATATATATACATATATATATCAAATGTACATATTTTTAAAAAGTTTTAAAAGATTCATTAGTTAATTTTTATATAAATTCTTATATTGATTTTTGATATATTTCTCTGATGTAGTCTTATAAAAATAACATTAAGATATTTTTAAAAATTTTATATTTATATTATTGTAGGTTTTTATATAAGAACGAATAAATAAGCAAAAAACGAATCGTATTTTTTTTTAACAACAAAATCTATGAAAACATAAAGAAGCGAATGAAATAAAAAAAATTGATTAAAAATTATGAAATAAAAAAAATTATCTTTTATTTTTAATTTAATGTATATCAGTAGAAAAAGAAAAACTAAAAGAACTATGATATTTAATATTCATTTACTATTGTTTTAAGCTTAGATTCACTATTCATTGTGTTGCTTGATTTTTTGCCACCACCTTTTTGTTGGTTTCTCTTTGGTCACTCGATGAATTTGAGAAAATTTATTTTTATCCTTAACTGATTCTCTTTTTAATTTTCTTTTTGGCCCTTTTTTTTTTTTTGTCATTTCCTTCTTCTATTTTTAGATTGAGCATTTAATACTCCTATCTTCTTTCAATGTTTGTTTTCTTCTTATTTTCGATCGGGAAGCCAAACCCGCTTGCTATTTAAGAGTGATTATGAATTAGTCCCTCTTTTTTCGAGAAACAAATTAATTAGTCCCTTTGGTTCAAAAACTATTTTTTTTAATCCTTTTATATATATATATATATATATATATATATTTTAAAGAAACGAGAGAAAGAATAAAAAAACAAGCAAAAATATAAAAAAGACATTTTATAAAATAAATTATTCATGGTCAATGCTGATTAAAAAAATTAAATAATTTATTTTTGAAACCAAAACAATTAATTTATTTATTTCTCAAAATGAGATTAACAAATTTATAATTTAATTTGCTATTCAAGCATCGCTTTCATCATAGGTTAAGAAATCAAAATTTTGAGAACTAATTTTATAGTAGTTTTTATTTCAATTTATTGACTTTAATATATTTTATACAACTTAGATATTTTTTTTTAAATTTTTGTTTACACTATATATATATATATATATATATATATATATATATATATATTTGTTAAAAATTAATTATATATTTGTATACATAATACCGTTAGTCCATTCGGTTAAAAAACTAATATTTTTTTCCTTTTTGCTATTTTAATGTTTTTATTTTTTTACAAGAAATAGAGAAAGATTAAAAAAAGGTAAAAATATGAAAAATAAAAGACATTTTTAAAATAAAAGAATAAATTATCCGTGGTCAACATTAATTAAAAAAATCAAATAATTTATTTTTGAAACCAAAATAATTAATTCATTCTTTTTTCAAAACAAGAAGAACCAATTTATAATTTGTTTTGCAATTCAATAATCTTTTTCATCAAAACTTAAGAAGTAAAATTTACAAGAATCAA